TACTGACAGGATTCTTTTAGAAAGTTGGCCTTGATTATAAATGAATGGGGAGAAATGCTGGTTTACTCAAAATGAGTTATCTGGACAAAACATTGTGTGCAATATGACAGATTTTTATACAAAGTAAATGCATTAATTGCTTTTTTTCTCCCCTAGACTTGTTAAGTAAGACCAGTGAAAGAAATCTGAAGTAACTCCCTTCCAGGCCCCAGGGCTTAAGGTGTATTGTCTCTGATGGGGGCTGGGGGAGGGTGGGTTGCCACACACATCTCCTCTCCTCCAGGATTGTGTGTTCAGAAGTAATAACTTTCCCCTACCCCCCTCCCCCATTTTAATTGAAACCCTGAGGCTGGTTGGGAATAAGTTGTAAATGGGATTGAGGGGAGGGGGTAGAATGCCATTTGTTTTATGTTGCCTACTAGAAGTTGAATGGAATTGGGTTTTACTGATTATTTCTTTTGATCACTTAGTTAAGTGTTTTCAGGCCTCTTAATAAGAACTTCATAGAGGTTATTTGTGTTCCTCTCATCTTTGTCTTTGGACACTTTTGAGAATGAGATTGAAATTAAATTTTAAAAAGTACTTTGAGAAACAAATACTATAATATCAGGAGTACAGGTGAAGAAAGTCCAGCTCGATGGAGGTATTTTTTAAGTTCACATACAACATTTAAAGCTAGATCTGGGGACCCAGATTTTCTGTTTGTTGCAGAATAGATTGCCAAACAGATGCCAGACTTGACCCCTATTCACTTTATAAAATTTCATGGATGTCGATAAATTTCTTGCTTATATAAAACATCAAAATGGTTACCTTTCCTATGTGCAGTTTAGCTTGATTACTATTGTTTGCCATTGTTACAAAGCTTTAGGCAAAAGCTGCTATAAAGTGATAAATCGGAGGACTGTAGTGTTGGAGCAAACATGAAAAACCAGGTCCTTGGTTCCTTTGGGGGCTGTGGCCATTTGGTTGAATGAAGGATGAGCAAGAGGGAAGCTACTTTCAGGTCCAGATAAATTGTCGACCCTGGGGAGCCAGAAACTAGCAAGGTCCTTGCAGATCAATCATGAGAACTGCCCAACGTCACCCAGGTCATGAGTCAGGAACACTCCCAGGCCAGTACTCATCATAAATTGGGGGAAGGAAAAATCCTGCATATGTCATTTATCTAATGTTGTCTGTAAGTTAGTTGCTCAGGCTCCAGTGATGATAAAATGTCTGTACATTCATTTGAAACAGATCAGCTCTGCTAATGTACCTGGGATCTCTTGCTATGTACATACATACCTGCATGGGCCAACCACCCTTCCAGTTTACACACAAGTCAGACAGACTTGTGTCACTGGAGCTACAGATTCATAAGACCATAAGTCTGGAACTGGAAGGGACCTCACAGATCATCTAGTCCTTCATTTTACAGATGAGGAAAGTGAGGACCAAGGGATCCAAAGTCAGGTTTTGGGTCTCCCAGCCCATCATTCTGCCAGTATCACATTCACCTGGTGTTGCTGGTTATGCAGGGTCTCTGTTACGTAAGCAGGGGCTATAGGCACCTTGATAAAAGAGAGAAAAGTCTGGGTCCTTTACCCAGTGCCCTCGATGGTTTTGAGCATCACAGTAACTTAATCACCTACAAAGTGATTTCCGGAGCTTAGGTTTGTGAGTTATCCTGTGATAAATCTCAAATTAATGCATCTTGGGAATCTGTCTAAAGCTCATGGGTTTGGACTGTGCTGGAGAATAAGAAGGATGTGATGGAACTAGTGTAAAACAGGACTTTGAAGGAAGAGAAGCTTAAATGATAGTAAATACAGACATAGAGAGTCACTGCTGATCTCACTACCAAAACTTTACCCTTCTATAAAGTGAAGATAATATTTATCTCCTTCCCAGGGTGGGATAATGGGAATTAATTTTCTTGTAAAGTGCTTTGAAGATTAAAGTCACTCCATAATATGATGTTAGCAATGGCAAATTATAAGGATTGTAATGGGAGAACTGTAAGTCATTAAGAGCTGCATTTTTATTCACTTGGAATCACCTCTACTGCTTTAGTGGCATGAGGAGGAGAAAGAGTAGGATAAAATCCAGCATTAGTACATAGGTACAGTGTTCTTTGCTATTTACCCTGGCATCTTTATGATAATTTTCCACTGAGTTTCTCTGAAGAGCAAGTTACATTACTCACAGAGTGGCTGTCATAGCAGTTAGGATAGAAGAAGCCTCTTTTTCAGAAAACCTAGGGAGCTCATTCCCCTTCGTGGAAGCCTTTTGTTTGGGGGAGTATCAGTTTAATGAGCATCAAGTTAGTGTTGAAAGCCAGTGATGCTGTTTGTAGAGTCCTGCTCCAAATCCATTGTCCTGGTGCTCTCAGTGGGATGCCATGGGTTGAGAGAGAAGGATAATTAGGACTGAGAGAGAGGAGGATAATTAGTGTCTCGTCTGAAAGAAATTATGCTCATGATTGGGAGGAGACCGAGTGTGATATGTGCCCAGGGTCTTCGTACATTACTTTCCTTAACTCCCCAATTTAGAAACAGGGCAAGAAGTGTTTGACTGCTAACAGTTTAAAGTCCTTGACCTTCAATGCCACCTAGTAACAGAAAGAAGATGTCCTAAAACTATGCAGGAGTCAGAAGACTTGAGCCTTGAGCAAAACATAGCTTTGCCTTTTTTGGAGTGAAATAAGAGTAGTTTGATGAGGAGAAGCCCAGCTGTGAAAAGAGGAGTTTGGGTAAGCAAGTTCTACCAGACTCAAAACCCCACCTGCAGACAGTCAGCTGAGTGAGCAAGGGCAAAAGGGTCACGTGGGGATGATGGGAGAACAAGCATTTCGAAATTCTTCCTCGTTCCTAGATCTCGGAAGCGCTGGCCATTTTACATGCACCACAAGGGAACGTCCAGAGCTCATACACTGAGGAATGAGCTGCATAGAGCTTTGCATCGGGAATTAGGAAAAGCTTTTCTTTTAGGGTTTGAGGAGTCCAGAATCGGAAGGGACTTTAGAGATCATCAAGTTCCACCTTCTCATTTTTGTAGTTAAAGAGGTGGTGGCCCAAGGAAAAAGTGGCCCGCTACTGCTATGGATGAGTGCTTCCTGCCTAATGATATGGAGAGTAGTTCAACAGTACTCTCAGGTGTTTTCTAGCAAGAGAAACTTACTCTCAACATTCCTGACCTACAAATAAATTTTAGAAGAAAGATTCTAATTTTCTTTTGGCTCTTAATTAATTTAGTGTACAAAATTTCAACTAGGTTGCCATCTTGAAATTTTGAAAACTTATGTATTTTTTTCCTTTCCTTGAGCCCTGTTTCTGAAAGGCATGAGGTCCTTGTTGACAATATTTTGTTAAGAGATTTATTTTCTCTTTTTGCCCCCAAATTCTTGTCTTATTTTAATATTTCATATTACTTGAATGCTAGATTTGAATTAGGAGTCAAAAGTCTTGGGTTCAAATCTCAGATCTACCATGTCCTACCTGTGTGACCTTGAGTAAGTCACTTAATCTCTTTGGGCCTCTATTTCCTCATCTGTAAAATGAATGAGTTGGACTGATGGCCTCTAAGGACCTGAAGGAAACATTAGATGCCAGAGAATTGAATTGGGGATGAGACTGAGATAAGCATGAACGATCATGCAGACAAATAGAAATGTGAAGAGAGGGAGAAAACAAACCTTTCCTGCTTGTATTTCATCCAGAAGTAAAACACCCATCGACAAAGGTGTGGCCAGCTGTCTTTGCCCTGCTGCTGTTGTTGTGGTAACTGGGCTTATTCTTGGGAAGCTCACTTGACAGACAGATGGCCACCTTGCCTCTGCAGCTGCCCTCTATAGCCACGCCTTCTTTTCTTGGAGATTCTTTTTACTTTGGGGACGTTGAGGTCAGAGTGACTGCCCAGAGAAAAGAACCCACTTGAGTGTGTCCTCCCACTGGATTCTGGTGGTCTCTTTTGCCTTTTAACCTGGCTTCTGCTAGCATCCACTGGTAGAAGTTATAGAATGAAACTGATAGGCATTTAATAGCTTTTCCCATTCAGTATCTGTGAACTGAGAGGACGGAAATGCTGGCGTTAACTAAGAAGTGAAAGGGACTCCCACTATCCTCTGTCCCTCTGATTGAAGAGGGGAGCCATGAACTCCCAGAGGAAGCCCAGCTCTGAACAGCTCAGAACCTCATCACTCACCAGGCTACACTGCTCTGCTCTGGGTCTTCTCTGCCAGAATCCTCCACTGTGCCCCCTTTCCTGCTTCTTGTCATGATATGTTTTCTTCTGTTAGATTGTAAGCTCCTTTGGCGCAGTGACTGTCATTCTCCCCCCCCCCCCCATTTTTGTATCCCTGGAGCTTAGCGCAGTACCTGACACATAGTAGGTGCTTAATAAATATTTATTGACTGAAATTAGTGTCCTTTTGGCTTACTTTAAAAAAACCCAGAAGTGTAAAAAATAGGGAATTGCTGTCTTACCCTTGATTTCAGCCCAATAATGCTTCTCTAGTTGCCATCAGTAAAGTTGCTGGGATGTGTTTGGGAGAAGAGGTTTCTTTAGAGGCTATAAATGTTTGGCCTTCAGGTATTTATTAACCTTAACCTGGTTCCAGTGTGAAATTGGCAAAAACACAAGTGATACCTAGACGTGTTTTGTTCTGCCACCTTAGAGCAACAGAATAAGTATTTTGATTGGTCTAAGTTGTCAGAGAATGTTTGAGGGCTCTGGGGCTCATTCTAGAACTTAACAAGTTGGGGCTCTGGTCTTTTATACCATTCTAAATCACCTTTCCCTTTCTTTTTCTTTTCCTTTCTCTCACTCTGTCTCTTCTAGGGTAACCAGGAGCCAACAGCCACTCCTGACGCCATGGTTCAGCCATTTACCACCATCCCATTTCCACCACCTCCACAGAATGGAATTCCCACAGAGTATGGGGTACCACACACTCAGGACTACGCAGGCCAGACCAGTGAGCATAACCTGACACTTTACGGAGGTACACAAACGCATGGAGAGCAGAGTACTAACACAGCCAGCACGCAGAATGGAGCTCTGACGGTATGTGACTTAGAAGGCAGAGGATGGCGCGGGGCAAAACCATTCATTTCATTGCTGTCACATATAACCTGGGAAACCTTATGCATTTCTCATTCTTCAGAATATATGCATGAAATAGCTAGTCAGATTGTCTTCACAAAGCAGCCTGGGTCATTTGCCTTTTCACTCTGTCTGTCTGTTCCAGGCTGTTTCTCAGGAAAATACCAAATGTATCCATTTCTTCATAGACCACTAAACAAATAAGCATACTTGTTTCCGCAGTGAATCTGACCCTGGGAATGGCAGACAGCTCATTTCTAGAATATTTTGAGTTTTACAAAGTGCTTTTCTCAAAACTATTTCTATACAAGGTGAGGAAGCTGAGGCACAGACAGACTTAAGTGACTTGGCGCTGAGTCAGACCATTAATAAGTGTTACAGCTGGGACTTGAACCCATGCCTGGCCTCCCATAGCCAGCATTCTTGCTTCTCTGCTGAGCCACCTCTGGTTGGGGCTTTAGTCGTAGAAAGAAACAGAGCTTAGAGACATGGGGTCCAGTTTGGGGGCTATCGTTACCTATTTTTCTTATGAAAACTATTGACATTTTCTGCATCTATAATTTTAAAAGTAAATATAAGTAATCATAGCCTTGGGTGGATTGAGCATTTCTGAATGTTGATTGACTCAAATAAGGTTAACAACAAGTTATGTGTCATTATACTTAAAAGTATGTGATGGTTTTTTTTTCTGTAGTATAATTCTAGAGATGAAGATGTCGTCACGTAGCTACCATAGACCCAGTTCTCATTGAAAATTGTTTTATTACCTTCTCCGTAGCATGGATTGCCCACTAACAGATTATCCCAATGAGGGCTTTTATCCACGTCCTAAGCCACTTGTTAAGATTTAGACTCCTAATAAAGAGGCTAGGGTGGAAGCTTCTGTTGCATGGGGATGAATTTAATCTTCTAATGCTTTCAATTTTGTTTTTACTTGATGTTGGACATAATAGGAATTTTTTACATAAAAATGCTTAACATTGTACCCTTCCCTTTCAACCAATAATATTTCAGCACACAAAGGAGATGATCTTTTCTTGTACTTTTCTAATAATACTCCAGTGAATCTATGACCTCCTTCCAGATCTTCTCATCCTGTGTTTTCCGTGTATCTCCACAGAAGATTGATTTATTAATGGTCTCTTATATGCTAGGCACCACGTTAGGTACTGGAGTGACAAAAACCACTTTCTCCCTACCTCACCCCTACTCCTCCCCAAAACAGTCCCTGCCTTCAAAGAGGTGACAGGCTACCAGCCTAGCAGGTTCGGAATTCTTAATAATGTTAAATAAAAATCTTTAAGCCATTGCTTTCTGTAAAGAACACAGATCTGTTGATAAACCTTTATAGTATCTCTAGAAAGTTGAGGTACAAAATCACCCAGCATAATAGAAATCTCTGGTTCTAAACCGTATAGCTTCTTGTAGAAGCAGTATAGCTTCACAAATAACGTTAACTACAGGAGGATAGCATACGGTCTAACCAGCCTCCCAGCTTTACTTCTCATACTCATGAGTCCATTTAAATGGAACTTCTAGCAATTTAGCTGTTCCTTGATCCTAACCTGTGGTTTCCCTCCTCTGTGCATTTGCATGGGCTTACTTCCCCCACCCACCCCATGCCTAAAGCACAGTCTTTTCTTTTCCTACTTTTAAATTCCTTCTTATCCTTCAAAGTCAAGCTTCAGAGTCGTATTTTTCATGAAGCCCTCCCTTCCTTAGCTTCAGCTAAAAGAGATCTCTCACTTCCTAGATTGTCCTAGAGCAGTTTGTCTGGATTTCTTATATACTCCCCTCAAAGTCTACCTTGTATCATATTTATTTGTGCACAATAAGTTGCTTCCCTCCTTTTCAAGTGCAAGCTTCTTGAGGGCAGAAACTATTTTTTCATATTTGTGTTCTGTGTCTAGCATTGGTCTTTATAGTTAATAACAATTTGTTGACTTGGCATCATTGAAGACTCATTTGAAGATAGTAGATTTTGAAACCATTGAGGTGGTGGTTTGGATAAATTCAACTAAGCATGACTTACTTCATTACCAGGGTTATGAACACAAGGTGCATTGTTGCTGTACTTCCAAATAACTTTTTTGAGTGGTCATTAACCACAAGCCAGTCTTTGTTTCCATTTCAGCAGAAATAGATAAGAATCTAAAATAAATTCTGAGGCTCCTATGTAATCTTAGAAGGGATTATTCATCCCTTCATGCGTGCTCCCGCTGCCCCCCCCCTCATTCCCCCATTTTTTCCTGTGCTTTTCTTATTCATATTATTGCATATTGTGGCTGAGACATCAACCCATGTATGTGTGTTTCTGATAGCAGTGAATAACGTAAGCTCTGACCCTTGACAGAAACTTCTGCCAAGCCTTCTGATCATCTTCCATATTAGGAGACATTTCCTTGAGCTCTGTCAAGGAGCCCTGCCTTATGTCAACCAATATGCGTTATGTCAGCTTTTAAAAGAAGCCAGTTGAATAAGAATAGGAATCTATGTGCATGGACACTGGGGTTTTGATGGTGATAGGAATAGCTCAGGAGAAATGGGAGCCCATGTGACATAACCATAAAGAAAAAGGGAGCATAGCTGCTCTAATTTGAAAGTTAGGTATTATTAGGAAACCACAGAAACTATAATAGGGAATCATAGAGACACTTGAGTTGAAGATTATTTTTTATTTATCAGAAACAGCATGAGTAGAGAGGTAGACTTGGAATCAAGAAAACCTGGGTTCAGATCCCACCTCTGACACCCATCAGCTCTTTGACCTTGGGCATGTCGCTTAACCTTGATGAATCTCAGTTTCCATATCTGTAAAATTAGGGATGATACCTCCAGTACCTCCCTTATTTAGAAGGCTGTTGTGAGGATCATATAAAGTCATGTACATAAAGTGCTTTTAAATACTTGAAAATACTTTCTAAGTGATGATGATGATGATGACGATGATGACGTTATACTCCCTGATAGCAATGTTGTTAGCCTGGGAAGTGAATCAGGGTTAGGAGACCTGCATTTCATTGTTGATCAAATTACTGATTTGAGTAAATCAGTGAAAATTTCAATATCTCATGTTACATCTGTAAAATGCAGATAGATAATGCTTATGATCAAGAATGTCTAAAATCATCCAGTGAATGTTAAACTTCCTTATCTCTCACTCCAAATAAAAGGACAGCACAGAGACTTTCATTTCTCCTTAGACAAATAATGTTAAGTAAATATAAAGTAATATTCTTTATATTTTGTAAAAACAGTTTGTCCTTTGTTAGACAACACTGTAGAAAGATAACTGGCAATAGATACGTCAAAAATAATTCCCAAGAGACCATCTCTCTTGACTCCTGATGATAGCCTTGGTCCATATTGTGAAACCTGGAGGGATTGTACTCATTTCATGGAATTTGTTTAGGAGATGAAAAGCAGTTTGATTGTCCCAAGTATTAGCTGGATGGATTTGAGATTTCAAATCATGTTTGTTGTTCTGGTAGAATGTTGGCTTGTTGGGGATAGGAACAGGGTCATTTTTTTATTGTTGTTCTTCTAGCACTTTGTGTATAGTAGAATAATTCATTTCAATTTAATAACATTTTAAAGCAACTATTGTGTGCACTTGCTTGTACTGGAGACATAAAGACAAAAAGAAACAAGCAGGTTCTGTCTTCAAGAAGCTTTTGTCAGGAGATAAGAGGAAATAGAAGGAAATTCGAGGAGGTGGAGATCGTTAAACACTAGGAACGCAACAACAAAGTTTCACAACAACATCACGCCTAAGCTGACTTTCTGAAAGATAATACAGATTCTCAGAAGCAGCAGTGGGGAGGAGCACCTTCCATGGGGAATGGCTAGGCTTATGTGAGTCCACAAAAGTGAGAGGTGAAATGCCCAGGTGTAATAGTAATAAGCATTTCCAGGTAGGGAAAAGAAATGCTCATAGAATTGGAATTCATTGACATTGAGCCATGCACACAGTGACTGTTGAGAAGGTTTTTCTCCCCCTTTCATCACTCCTTCCCTGTTTTGCAGTGTTGCAGGGTAGGAAGTACAGTCCATCCTGGCCTTGGTAGTACGAGGGGCTGCCAGGATGCTCCAGGCTGGTTCAGCTGTCACAGTCCTTTCACCCCTTAGCACTCCCCCTGAAAAGAATCTTAAGGCTTTAAGACAGTTAATCATAGCTCAGCCTCATAAAATGGGTAGCAGTGTGCTATAGAAGGTGGCATTTCACCTTGCCTAGAATGCACTGAGAGGACTATGGTATTTCTTTTGGGGCCAACAGAGTGCCCTGCTCTAAAGGTGCAGAATGCTTTAAAAGGTGCCCTACCATGTGTCCTCTTTACTGCAGCATGATTCTACACCTGCATATGTGAGGTATTGTACACCCTCTTGAAGTAATTCGTATTCCTGTGCATCTGTCATGCTGTTTGTTGTCCTGATGCAGGCTTGCACAAAAGTAGCTTGTATGTGTCTTTATTGCCCTTTGAGCCGCTGTCTTTACTTCCTTCACCCACCAAATCAGGCAGCCCACCTCCCAGGGCAGTTGGGATCAGGGTCACTGAGACCATGGAAGTCAAGAGGCTTTGGGAAATCCAAAGGGCTCTACTAATGAGCCCTTTATTTTTGGTCAGTCCAGTCTCACTGATGCTGCTAAGCCACAGCTGTGTTCTTAACATGGGACTCGGTTGTTCTTTTCTCTCACATCTGCCTTTTCGTACAGCACGAGATCCTGACTACTTGATTCACTTTCCCTGAGGTGGAGGCCAGAATTGGGTGGTCTGTTCTTAAGCAGCACTGCAGGAGTTGATTTTGGTGCCCAAGGAGGAACCTCTTCCTGTGCAGACAGTGAGCTGGGGAGGGAGCCCTTCCTACCTTGGGGGCAGCTTCCCAGACCCTAAGAGGCTTTGCCCATTCCTGAGCACCAGGTCACCAGGCAGCACAGCCCCAACCGCTGGATGAAAGGCTTC